TGGTCCTGGGAGTGTGAGGCAATGTTGATAACCACTACCCTACCAAGCCACCCCTGCCTCTATTTTGGATTTTGCCTGGATGTTCCTTCCTCACCATTAGTTTTGCACCGGTGCCGTTTCAGGTAAACTAGGAGACCAAGTTGTGGAGTGTTTGTGCTGGCTTGTGTGGCTTACTGGCTAAGTGTCTGTACTTGTGATCAGAAGGTCATGGGTTCAAGCCCAGGTGTGGACAACCTGTTGGTTTATAGGAAAAGATGTGGTTATGGGTTGAGTATTATTATTGTAAGTCTTGCTGCTCTCACACTTTTTTAATAATAAGGTGGGGGCCCTAAGTGTGGCAATCTGTTTCTTCCTAACTGTATATTTGGGGGGGGGTTCCTGAGGGTGATGGTCATCTGTCTTGGTCTCCACATGGTGTTGGGGTGGTGGTTGTGCATGATGGTGAGGCTTGAACCCTGGTCCTGGGAGTGTGAGGCAATGTTGCTAACCACTACCCTACCAAGCCACCCCCGTCCTTTGTTTTGGATTTTACCTGGATGTTCCTTCCTCACCATTAGTTATGCACTGGTGCTGTTTCAGGTAAACTAGGAGACCAAGTTGTGGAGTGTTTGTGCTGGCTTGTGTGGCTTACTGGCTAAGTGTCTGTGCTTGTGATCAGAAGGTCATGGGTTCAAGCCCAGGTGTGGACAGCCTGTTGGTTTATAGGAAAAGATGCGGTTAAGGGTTGAGTATTATTATTATAAGTCTTGCTGCTCTCACACTTTTTTAATAATAAGGTGGGGGCCCTAAGTGTGGCAATCTGTTTTTTCCTAACTGTATATTATGGGCTCAGCAAAATCCACCCTTGAATCACAGTTTAGCGACGTACGTAGGATCGCACAGAGCAGGGGCTCATTTTGGACACATCTTAACTGCAGAAATTTCTTCTCCACAGTCTTGCATTTGCATGGGTACAGACACACACTGTAAGAATGCTTTAGGGAAACCAATTATTGACATCTTTTCTACTCAACAGAAAGCAGAAATATATACTTTCACGCATCACAAGAAAAAAACAAATATGCAAATGAATACTTTGGACACTGGCGAGACAAAACATTCTTGCTGATCAGTTGGAATTTGCAACACTGCCATCATGTGGCTGGTGGTATTTACTTCTAATGTTTTAATAGAGGAACCTATCCTTTGAGGAAATATTCATTCAGTGTCGCCCCAAGGCGATTTATATGGGTGTGTTGTGATACATTCCTGCATTATTTATGCAGAATGATTCAATAACAAGGAAAGGGAAAGGATGAAAGGAAGGAAGGAAAGCCAGATGAGAGGAGAGGAACCAAGACCTGCCCCCCCCCCGCCTCCAGGCAGGCTATGTCGTATTAAAGTATCTTACCCTATTCTGACGCCAATTTAACTGTAATTAATAATTTAACTGAACTAATTGAGAAAAATGTATATTTTTAAATAAGATCCCTGCGATGGACTGGTATCCATCCAAAGTGCCCCCCGCCCTGTGCTGCCTGCGACAGGCTCCAGATCCTGCACAGCCCCATACCGGACAAACGCCATTCAGGGGCGCGGCCAGCCTGTGTGCCTCTTACTGAGCCGTGGGAGGACGTCCGTGCAGAATGTGCACTTTCACACAAGCCCAGGCCTGCGAGTGTCAGACAGCATTCTGTACCTGAAAAGGTACATTTACCTACAGCTAGGGTACAATTGGCAGACCCATGAGGGTACAGCCCCAGTGATAAGTGATTGTACCCTCATAGGTACAAATTGGTACTTTTTTTCTGACAGTGTACACAAACCCTCGAACCCTGGATTCTCCTTTCTCCTTCTTCAGCTGCATTGCCTCTTACTCACCTGGAACGCTTCTGTGACTCACCACCTCTCCAATGATCTTTGTGTCTCAGCCCAATTTGCTTTGCCTCACTGGTAAACAGCAAAACAAGGCAGTGAGTCACACCCAGTCTGATAACAGCCAAATCCTTCTCCTTGGGGAAATACCCTCTAACAGAACCGCTCTGTCACTGGGGGAGATCAGATGACCACAAGTACACAAGACAGAGTTAAAATTACCCAGCAGGATCACAACACTCCATTTTGCCTTCATAGCTGATCACAAGATACGGGACAATCAGCTGCAGCAATTTAACAGACCAGAAGGTCCTGTGATTGGTACTTTGGTTTGCAGTTATGTTTAATACAGCCAATCAAAATCCAAGACACCGAAATTCATGGTGTGGCATGTAAACAATGTCAAACCACAAGGTTCTACATTTATTCTTTGTGTTTGCCGGATTTAAGACTACCACACAGTCTGAAACGTTACTGCAGCACGTCTGTCGTCTGCATAGTAAAATTGCTGGATAATTTTTAAGACTTAGGAAATGGACTTAGAAATGACAAAAAAAAAAAACATTCAGTCCACACTGGCATGGGCAAAGTAAGCATTTGTCTCGGACCCGACCATCAGAAGGGGGCTGCGGTGAAACATATCTAGTAGGACCATAGGATATATATTTACCATAGAATTTCACTATCCAGCCGTCCATCTTCTCTAACAGAGTCAAAGTAATGATCACGAGTTATACCATGGCTATATTATTATAGTTACAGGCATAGAAACACATAATAAATCACAATACACCGAAATACATTTGCGCTGACTCATCTATACACGTGAATGTGCACGCAGATTCATCTGGTTTAAATGTACCAGCACTATAATAACAACCTACAAAACCCGGCTGTTCACTAAAGACGCCAATCTGGATTCGCACGACAAAAGTTCACCTTATACACCCTAGAGAGCCTGGCAGTGGAATGAGGAACTTATCTTGTTCCAGTGTGCACCTCACCTCGTTCCAGAAAGTTCCTGTTTATAAACAAAAGCATTGCATCCGTATGACCTGGAGAATAAAAGACGAAATTACGCGTGTTTCTGTAATCATGGCACAGGGCCGTTTTTACACAGGGAGAAAAATGTCGAAGACATTTTAAATAAAATCGCAGTGGGGGGGAAACGAAAACGGGAAGGCAGGGAAGAGTGAGCCAGGCGGCTCCGGCACACCCAGCGCTGACACGCCCCCTAGCGGCAGTCTGCGGCGCGTTCGTCTGGAGAGACGGGCTGGACGAAGCTGTACTGCAGAAAAGTCGCAAAGGCATCTAAATAAGGAGCAACATGACGTCAAATAACATCCAAACAGGTACATTTGTATCGTATTATCTGTACGTTCAAGGCTATAAATTTACCATTATTTGAAAGGCTCTTACATATAAATGTGTCGTTTTTGCAGTTGAAATCCGGTGATCAGGGTTAATGTTTTCTTATCTCCACCACTAGATACTGCTCGGTTTTATTTTCTCTCTCTTAGTTTTAGGTTTTGGCAGATTTAGCTCGTCGGTCTTATTTACGTCTCTGTACTTCCGTGCTAACAACTAGCTGCATTGGGCTACAACACGCCCATGATAATTACTGCATTGCTTATTTTCTGAATTTGAAGATATCTGTATTACGTATGTCATACGTATGTATCCTGAAATTTGTCTTGTCTAAAGTTAGATACTTGTACGGTGTCGTAGTTTCATCATACGTGTTCGATGCGGCGGTCGTGTTTTTTTTGCCAAACGAAATGCGGAGGAACTTAGTCTACAGAATGTTTTGTGCGATTGCATTTTGTGCCACTGGATGGCAGCAGCTCCCCGGGTCCTCGCATCCTCTGGTCTCACGTGAGGGAACGTTAATTAAAAATAGTCATGTAAACGTATTTTTACATCCTCGTTTCTCATCATGCTTTAATTGTATTTTTTAAATGCAGTTATTTCACTAATTGGCCACCGTATGTCCTCAGCTGAGGAGGACGCCCCTTCCCTGTTCCCCTCTGCCCCCTCTGTGTCCCCAGAACTAAGATTAGTGTTGCTGGGGCTGTCAGGCTCAGGTAAAAGCTCGGCAGGAAACATCATCCTTGGCAGGGAGGAATTCCTGTCCCTAAACCACAGCAGGACAGCCGTCACTCAGGAATGTGAGATAAAAGCAGCCACAGTGGCTGGTAGACAGGTAAATGTCACCATTTAATCATTTGTCACATAGTTATTCTGCTATGCTGTCATTATCCATACCATAAACAAAGTTTGCCCATCCTTTAAATAATTTTCTCCAGGATAATAAAGGTATTTTGATTCCATTTGCAGGTGTCTGTGGTTGACACACCGGACTGGTTCTTCTCAGAGCGCCCCCTAGAGGATGTTCAGGATCAGATATCCACCTGCAAGTTGCTGTCGTCTCCAGGGCCCCACGCCATGCTCCTGTGTGTGCCTGTGGACCGCCCGGTGGCCTCTGAGCTGCAGGCGCTGGAGGCCGTCGCTCACGCCTTCGGCGCCGGCGCGGTGGAGAGTCACACGCTGGTGCTTTTCACTCATGGTGACAGGCTGGGTACGAGCGAGGCAGTGGAGGAGCATATCGTCTCCCGCCGTGAAGACCTGCTGGCGGTAACAGAGCGCTGCGGCGGCCGGCACCACCTGCTAGAGAGGGGGGGTGAGGCTGGGGGGGCAAGCGTACGTGAACTGCTGGAAAAGATAGAGGACATGGTGAGGAAGGCAGGGGGGACGTTTTACCCCTGGCCCCCCTCTCGGGAGACGAAGGCGCAGGGGGAGGAGGAGAAGGCAGTGAGGATGAGAGGAGGCAAAAAGGACGAACTTGAGGCGAAGACAGAGGAAGGCGACGATGAAGAGGAGGAGTGGGTGAAATCCAGCGAAAAAGACGACGAAAGTGGGGATGAGATCTCTCCATCCACCATGACTTCCCGCGACGTGTCGTTCATCCGCTTCCTCTGGGAGACGCTGCTTGGGTTCCTGAAGAGCATCCCAGGGCTGGTGAGGAGAGAAGCTCTGCTAGGAGGACTGGTCGGCCTTTTCGTGGGGGGGCCCTTTGGCTCCATGCTGGGGACCACCGTGGGCTCCGTGGCAACAGAGGTCGGAAAACGCAAGAACACTAAACAAAAATGATTCTCGTCCCAGGAATCGCAGGTTAAAAGCAGGCTCATGTAGAATTGTCTGTGTGTGTTTTTTTTTTAGTTATTCAAACAAATTATTCCACACGAACAGATTGTCTGAAGTGTGACCAGTGCTACCAGGCTGCTAAAAAAATGGGTTTGCATATATGACATGTAATATATGAGAGATTAAACAATTTCAAAAGCCAGCTGTCGTCATCGTGTAATCTCCTTGTAATGAGTCACCAAAGACAGACCAAAGACAGACCGTGTGACTGCATGTATAAAAGCGCTCCAAGAGCAGGCCGGCATTCAGTCCCGTCCGCTTCACATGGACTTCAGGGTTCCTGCATGGCTCCACGCTAATTTTTTCCGACCTGGGGGGGGGGGATGCCCCCATAATTCCTACCCATCGGCCCGCCCCGAATGCCAGATGGCCTGCGTGCACTGCAACCCAACCGGAGAACATCACCAGTTAAACATCTAAATATTAAGCAGGGTGTGAGCGCACTTTCACGTCGACTTCTGTTTCTTATCAAATAAGAAGCCCCCAGCCGTGGGTTAGGAGTCAAATAATATTTTCCAAGCAAAGCAAGAACTAACTAGGGCATTTGTTCAAATCAGCAGATTGCAAAATCAGAGCATTCGGGGAACGTGATGTGCAAAGGCTAGTAGTGTTCCTGCGACATGGCTCTGGAGGAACAGAATGGTCTTGTCACATAAAGTATTTTACTTACAAAAGGAATCTACAATAACTACATTCATAAGCCATTTTTATATACCTTTGCATTAACATTAATCTTTTGTTTTTTGAAAATGGTAAAACATTCTTATCAACATTATTACTTAGATAAGCCAGTTTTGTGGTTTTAATTAATACCTAGTTTTACAATCTGCAAACACGTTCTACAATCAGAAACCACAATGGCAGCGACTTCCAGTCTGTCTGGCCGATGCACAATCAACTACTCTCTTGCGTCAATGACAAAGACGATGACACTCCTACTACTGGCGATTAATATTGAGGTAAAAAGCATTACCGTAGACTTTGGAGCCCACGTACACTAAACGTCAAAATCAACAGCTTTTGACCATGTCGTACAAAGACTGACCGAATTAAAAAAAACCTTCTGCAATACGTGTAAATTTCCACTAGGTGGTAGTAAACTTCCATAACAGTGGTTCTCAACCTTTTTGCACCACGACCTAATTTTTACCATGCCTTTTCAGTCGCGACCCGATATCAAGTATAGGTTTAAATTAACGCTATGATCAAACACACAGTGCACTATGCAGTTTACGCCAATCAATGCCTATTGCACAAATCCGATTGGATGTGCCAGTGAATTTTAAATTAAGCATCTGTGGTTTGGCTTCTTGGATTGGTTGAGCGTTCACTAGTTTTGCACTAAGCATTTGCCCGTTTATATAGGGGTAATTCGAGGATTGGGACTGAGAAATCTGATCGTGGATCTTGCTGGTTTTAAAATGCTTATAAAATGCCAACTTTGCCTCGTGATCCTTTCAGAACTTGCCGCGGCCCAAATTTGGTTCGCGACCCATGGGTTGAGAATCATTTGAGAATCACAACGGACAGTACGGAGGTTTCCGCGAATAAATGCATTCGCACATTAAAAACATGACAGATCTTAAGATTATGCAAAGGCTACTTCATCATATTAATATAATTCATGCAACTGTAAATTCATAGAAATAAGTGATTATTTCTAATGTCAATTCAGGCTCAGATTCAGGCTCATCATGAACCACTGATTCCGCCTGGTATGGAAAATGGATGGATGGATGGATGGAATAAATATTGAAAAACTGAATGGTTTTGGTTTCTGGCTAACTGTAAGCATATATCCATCCAATGCATGCAAAAGCTCTCTCTCACTGCATATAACCCGGCGGGGCTGCGTGTCATAAACAGCCCCCCCTGAGGTGTCTCACTGCAAACCCGCTGTGCCACCGTCGGCAAGCTTGTTCTGCCCAAGCTTAAGTCCTGTCCACTTACTGTAAGGTCTATAAAAAGCCCTGGCAAATTATAGCCTAAAAGATAACTAGCAAAAGCTGAATTAATGGGGGCAATTTTAGGGGGAACGCGAAGTGGAACATGAACTTTAAACAGACTTTTACAAAGTGTCCTGAAATGTCGATTCTGAATTCACTATTTAAAAAGCAAAAAAAAGGGGGGGGGGATACCATTAAATGGAATCTCTCTGCCTGCCTCCCTCCCTCCCTCCTTCCCTCCTGTGTGCTTTCTCCTCCTGTTTCTCCTGGTATCCCTGTACACAGAGAGCTCCTCGCTCCCCCCAGTCCTCTGCCCAGGACTGGCACGGCTCCCGCTGGCAGGGTGGTGAGGCGTTTCCGAATGTGGGTGGTCCCCCCCCCCCTTAGAAGAAGAGATGGGGGGGAGTTAGGATAAGTGGTGCTGTTGGGCTTTTTTTTTTTTTTTTTTTAAAGAAAGAGAGAAGGAAGCAACAGAGAAAAAGAGACAGAGAGGAAAACAGAGACGGAGAACTTGTTCTGGGATAAACATCTGCCTTCCAGATGTGTCCTCATAAGAGTAAAGCAGAAAAGGATAAATTACTATATAATCCGGACATTTTTATTGCAGATTATAGTTGACAGCAGTCATGGTGTAGCAGACGACACGGCAGTCTTTATAAGGGCACGTGGAGCGATGACACCTAATCTCCTGTCTCTGGTGGTTTTTCCGTCATCTTGAACGCGATCTATCACAGAAGAGCACCTGCGCAGATACTGCTGCGAATCAGTGGGCATGTGCGCAGGCGGAGGCAGACGGGCGACCGACGTATGCGGGGAGTGGATGGAGATCAGGGCCGACAGGGAGAGAGACACAGATCCAGCACTTTTCAAGTGTTCAGTGCTTAGGCGATGCAAGCATCTGTCATTCCAATAAAGTGTCCCTGAATTTTAATAAGAGGGAACAAGTTCAGACAACTGTGGGAGTAGCGGCTGATTAAGCATTTGGATTCCCAGTCCAGTGCTGATTGCGACCTTCTTGAGAGACGCAGGACGAGCAGCGCAAATTCTAGTTCACAACTGCAGGCTCGTGAGGGAAATTCCTTGAAAATGGTCACGTCAAGAAACTTCCTCTAAACAAGGCGCTGCTCTGGGCACCCGCGTGAACACAAAAGGGGGGAGCCCGTTAAGATGGACGCCAACATTTTATCATCATGTGTGTGGTGCTGCGGTCTACAGAGAGCACGTGTGACCTCACAGGTGAAAGCTTCCCTCACTGAAAACAACTTCTGCCGCAAAAAAACAAAACAAGAAGAAATAAACAAAAGTCTTAGCATTAAGATGATGAAAACAAAAGTGTCAAGTCAAGGAATTGCAGAGTAGTGTTTTCATGGGCAGAAGCTGAGGTCACCTGATGTCCGGTTCAGGGTAGGCTGTGAGAAGGGCGAGAAGAGAGGAACAGGAAACAGTCATGGAACATGGATACATCCTCAGGGTGGTCTGTGAGAAAGGAGAGAAGAGAGGAAGAGGAAACGGCCACGGAACATGGATACATCCTCAGGGTGGTCTGTGAGAAGGGCGAGACGAGAGGAACAGGAAACAGCCACGGAACATGGATACATCCTCAGGCTGGTCTGCAGGTAGCATGACAGGTAAAGACATAAAATGCATTGTTTTAGGGATCAGTAAGTAAATGGAAGGAGCTTTTACCACATCACCAATTGCCAGTTACACTCACACATGATGTTTCAGCTGTTTGGTTCCAGCTATTGGTGACTAAGGGTAGAGATGAGATCATCTCCTCCAGCTCAAAGCTGGCTGGTAGGAAATTGACTGAAACAACCACATGAGGGTTGTGAAGAGTGAGAGAGAGAGAGAGAGAGAGAGAGAGAGAGTGTGTGTGTGTGTGTGTGTGAGCGGGTTTACCTATCCTTATAGGGACATAATGTCCCCATAACGTGATAAATATCCGTTTTTCTTCCCTTATGGGGACCGGTTAACTCTATTTTATAAAAATCGGTGACTGCTATGAAAAAACTAAAAATCCAAAAACTCTTGTATTTTGTTAGGTTACTTATGGTTATGGTTATGGTTGTGTGTGTGTGTGTGTGTGTGTGTGTGTGTGTGTGTGTGGTACATGGTGGCAGAGGGAGCAGCAGCCTGGACACAGAGACGGACTTTCCATCTTAATGGACGTGGTCTTAATTACTACTGCTGATGTTTTGCCTTCTTCAGATTTATTTCCCTCCATTGTTTGTTATTCGATATCCCTGAAACTCCGGCTTTGGGCTGAAACTTTACCCCGGAAAGCCGGGCCGCCTAGACGGGCACCACATCTCGCTAATTAGGCGTGGTGAGCGGAATTAAACAGAAACAGAGAACTAAAGATGGAGGCAAAGACAGACGATTCTACCTCCATCACTCAGAAAGGCGAAGGCGGGAGGGAACTTTTGGCAAAACGTAAAAATGCGGTATGAGATCGGCAAGCTACCGCGGCGCTGGCGGGGAGGGGGGGGGGACTCAGGTGTTGACAGATGGGAGGCAATTACAGAGGAGGGTGAGGGCCAAGCCATCATGTAGGACACGAAGATGCAGATTAATGGCTCCTGAGCTTTGGAAGAGTGCATTTACATCGCAGCTATGAGTTGTGGTAGGAATTTCAGGGGTCGGGGGAGCAGAGATGGGAATTTTGGGGGGGGGGGGGGGGGGGGGGGGGGGGGGGGGGGTAATACAGTGTCCATCAGTGATTAATCGTGCAGCTGGCAGGGACTGACATTTGCCGAGTGCCTGATGGGGGGGGGGTGTGTCTGGAAAGCCTTCCGCAGCAGCTGAAGGTTCGCCGGGGACTCTGCCCTAAGAGGAAGTCATGTGAGCTGAAGCAGGACCAGACAGGCAGCAGGGTGGGAGGCTTCCACCTGGGTAGTTCTTAACCATCTGGACACCACTGGGACGTCATAAGCAGGAGTGGTATGGGCGTGGTAACCTCCTGGTAAACCCTGCTAACCTGGCTAAGCAAAACAGCTTAATGTGCGAATATGTAAAATATACAGCATTATTACAATCTAAAATAAACCATTTAATATTTTATCATAATCATGTTTATTATTAAATAAAATAAATGCAAAGCAATAACAAAGGTATCAAAAATCCACAGGAGAGAAGAAAAAGCAAATCAGAAAATCCACTCATTTTATTTTCAATGTATTCATATAACTTTAATTAAAAATTGGGTTGAACATGATCCAACAGCTTAGGAGCCTCTCAGAGCCTCAGACGGCAGCGACGACGGAGTCAAACCGGGATTCTTAGGGAGAGTCTCATGTCTGTGATTAACTAGTGAGAATGGCGGCAGTTTGCTGAGTGCGTAAGATTTTCTGTGCAGAAACAGCCCCGCCACGTGCGGCTCTGGATATAGAGTGAGGGACAGGATGAAGGACGTGCGCTCGACCTTCAGCTAACGGGGGACTCGGTGCGGCGGATTTTCCGGCAGCTGGGGCACACTCTCGCATTTCACTCTCACCATGGCCCGACTGGTGGAATCAGCACCGGAGCGACGCCACAGCAAAGCCCAAAAGATCCAGCGCTTAACATGAAAGGGAATGTTCCGGAGCTTGGAAAAAAACACCCCCCCCCGCCCCCCGATTCGATCTGTGGTTCTTTTGGTAGCATGGATCCCCGAGAACGTTGTG